AATATTAATATTATATAATCCAATCCGTTTTCTGTTTGGTAACAGAAAAGTAACTACCCTCTTCAATTTTCCCTCTTTATTTTCCCTCTTTATTATTGAGTAAATGGCCATTTATGTAATGGCATTTATGTTGTGGGCGTTTTGCATAAACAGCCATTCTGAAGAGACCCAACTTTGGCTATAAATACAACACTATTCTGCTCAGAATTTTAACTACAATTTTCTGAGTTTCCTCTCCTTCTTCTGCATACTTTTAGCATCAAAACAAAGCAAAAAGTAAGTGTGATTTGCTACCGAACTTTGTGTTCGCTGAAACACTGGGGTTTGAAGTACCACTACACCAGTGTGTAATTCGTTCTATCCTGGGAGAAAATAATCCATAACCTTGGGTACTAGGAGGGGATTAAATTCCTTAAGGAAACACTGTGAATTCAGTGGGCTCGAATTGGTTTATGTCATTTCTGTTTATATTCATTACTGTTTATATTCATTTATATTTCCAGAATTTATTTTACAAATACAGTGTAATAACACTTGGTAGGTAAAATTACCCGATACATGTATTGGTGGGAGGTAACATGCGCATGGAACAGTATCGGTAAACTGAGCTAGTCCGGATATTACAATTATTTAAAAAGTAGTTAGTGTTGGAAAATATGAGTACTTACGTGGTTTATAAGCAAGATCACAGGCGGATGTAGCCTAGAGTCTGTAAGTTCACGTGAACCCATAATTCTCGATACATATGTATATATGAAATTTTAACAAATATTTGAACTCATAGTTTTAACAGTATAACCAGATCAGTGCAAGTTTAAATCCATTGAATTTAAAATTTGGATCCGCCTTTGACCAAGATTGTGTTTAAATGTCAGCCATGCTTTTTTCTGATTTACATGTCATTTCTCCTACCAATTTTTATACGGTTAAAATCGGGCTTGCCTATTCGTATAACTAGCCAAATTCGGGGGGGGGGGGGGGGAATTTCACATAAGAACAACTGGGCTCCCTACTTTTCAATTTTATAGTCCACATTTCAATTTACAATCAACTAGCTCAAAAATAATAGGCTAAGATTCAACATCCAACTTCAATAGGTTTTTAAAAAAGACTGCTCAAGCTTTTAAGTTAATTTTAGAATCAGTAACTGTGACTTAAATAAATAAGGATAGTTCCAATCGAGGATAAAACTTTCTCTCTCGGTGCACGATTGCGTGCATGCTATCCTGCGCTGATCGGAAATGGGGAGGGGACGACCAAAGAAGATGGTAACAAAGGTCCAACTAGCTGAATTCATAGCATCAGGAAGTAGATCTGGCAATCTGGGGAGGAATTGTGAAGATGATTCGCAGAAAATAGCCCTAAGTTGTGACAAAAAAACACCAGCGAGCTCGGCAAATTCTGCAGGATTGAACAACATACGGCTGAAATTAATACAGGATCTGGGACTCTTGAGCCCTAGCATGAGTAATACCACACCTCAACCAGCTGTTGGGAACACATACCCAGCTGTTGGAATGAGCACTGTTCCATTGACTACTGTTTCATCAATGGAAGAACCAGCTAACATGAAGGAGAAGAATAACATCGAGGAAACGAGTAGCTCAAAAATCCTGAAGAAACAGCAAGCACAGAATCAAAGTCCAACAAAATCAACAGACCCAGAGGCAGCTAAAATAGAAATTGGGCAGAATGAGAAGAAATGGACAAACCTATTCATGGGGAATAAAATGGCTGCAAGAGGAATGGATCTTGTTTATATACCTCCTATCATTCAAGATGGAGTCAAAAAGGTTCAGTTGCAACAAGAGGAGATGGAAGTGGAGAATGCTAAATGGCAAAAGGCGATAATAGTATATGTTATTGGAAATTCACCCTCAATAGGAGCCATGGAGAGATTCGTAGCTAATCAGTGGAATTTTGCTGTGAAACCTGCAATTTTTTATCACAATGAGGGTTATTTCGTTATTCTATTCAGTAGTATGGACGATAAGAATGCAGTCTTATATTCAGGGCCATATACAATGGGAGCAAAGCCATTGATCCTAAAATCATGGTCAGAAGATTTCAACCTTTATAATGAAGTTTTGAAAACTATTCCACTATGGGCGAGTTTCCCTAACCTTCCTTTGAATTGCTGGGGAAGGGTTACTCTAAGTAGAATTGCTAGTAGACTGGGCTCTCCTCTATATGCTGATGAATGTACAAGTAATGTTTCTAGAATTTCTTATGCCCGAGTACTTATTGAAATGGATATCAGTAAGGAGTTGCCCAAAAACATTAAAATACAAGACCCTACAGGACAAGAGTTTGAACAACTGATAGAGTATGATTGGGTGCCAAAGTACTGCAAAAAATGTTTGATGGTGGGACATAATTGTGAGGAAGAACAAGGGAAAACTGGAGCAGTCAAAAACAATACACAAGGTGAGCAACAGCACAAAAGACCAGTAATGCCTAAACAACAAGGTTGGAATGGCAGTGTAAATGGTAATCTGCAGCAGCCAAAGAAACCAATAACTCAATGAGTGGCAGTAGGGCCAACAAAACAAGTAGTGAAGGATATAGGCAAGCAGATAGCCCAAGAGCACCAGACTGATCCATAGAAAGCCAATACAGACCAGCAAGGATGGACAAAAGCTAAAGGCAGAGGAGGAATAACAAGTCCAATACAACAAATACTCACTATAAATAATGGATTCTCTCCACTAAGAGAGGAAACAATGGAAGGCAGTACAAGCTGGCAAGATGATGGTAAAGCTGGTGATAGTATGGGAGAAGGATAAGGGAAAGCACCACCAAATCCAAAGCTTATATGAAGATAGTCACTTGGAATGTGAGGGTATTCAATAAGGTACATAAGCAGAAGGAGATGAAAATTTTCTTGAAAAAACATAAAATTAGTCTTATAGCTATAGTAGAACATAGAGTACAGTCCAATAAAGAAAGAGAGATCATCAATAAATGTGCACCTGGATGGAGTTGGTGTTCTAATAGCTCAGATACTGAAAAAGGGAGAATATGGATTCTATGGGACACTACTAGTATTCAGTTCACTCTGATTGAGAAGCATGCTCAATACATCCATGGAATAGTTGAAAACAGTTGTTCTAGCAAACAAATTGCTTTTACAGCCATATATGGACTACATACCATTGCTCATAGGTGTGACATGTGGGAAGCTCTAAGGAGTATAGACTCTCAGTTAACAAACTCCTGGCTTATCATGGGAGATTTTAATGCAATAAGGGATATTGAAGATAGGGTGAATGGCACAGTGGTACAGGAAAATGAGATCAAAGACTTTAGATCTCTAATGGAGGACTGCAGTTTGAATGAACTGGGTACTATGGGTAGAGATTATACATGGACAAATAGCCATGTTTATAGCAGAATTGATAGAGCCCTAGTCAATGCACACTGGATGATAAACATGCCTCCAGTGCAAGTCCATGTGATGGATCCTCAGTTTTCTGATCATTCTCCTTTATGTATAGAGTTGGAAGCAGAACCAGAACACAAAGGGAGACTTTTCAAGTTTTTTAATTGTCTTGCCGAGCATCCAGATTTTGATAGTGTTATTAGAGACAGCTGGAACAAGGAGAACAGAAATATAAAGGATATCTGGAACAATCTAAAAAGTGTCAAAGTGGCCCTTAAGAGTCTGAACAAAAAGGAATTTACTAGTACAACAAGCAAGGTTCAGCAATTGAGGGAGGAGTTAGCCAGCATTCAAGCACAAATAGGACCACCACAATAACAGCTGCTATGTTTGAATCAGAGAGAAATACAAAAAAGCAACTGGAGAAATGGAGTAAAATAGAGGAGAGCATTTATAGACAAATATCTAGAATCCAATGGCTCCAACTAGGTGATTCCAACACAGCCTTCTTCTTTGCAAGTATGAAAGGGAGAGTAGCACAGAATCAAATAAAATTCCTGCAGGATGACAAAGGAAGGTTGATCAGCAAAAGAGATGATATTGAACAAGAGATTGTGGGGTTCTACAAAGGACTGCTAGGGAGTTCCACAAATAGTATTCCTGCTATTGATCCTAGAATAATGAGGAAAGGACCAGTGCTTACAAGATCTCAGCAATTACAACTTATAGCTCCTTTCACTAATGAAGATGTGAGGAAGGCACTGCAGGAGATTGGAGACTCAAAGGCACCAGGTGGGGATGGTTTCAATGCATACTTCTACAAGAAGACTTGGCAAATAATTGGTAATGACATCACCAAAGCTGTTTTGGAGTTCTTTATGAAGGGCTAATGTATAAACTAGTAAATAGCACAACAGTCACTCTGATTCCAAAAGTGAAGAACTCCTCTTCTGTCAAATAGTTCAGCCCAATATCTTATTGTACTATCAAATATAAGATCATTTCCAAGATGCTCACAAGTAGTAATGGAGTCCCTAGTTGATATGAGTCAAGCAGCTTTTGTACCAGGCCGGATATTGAGTCATAATATTCTACTGGGGCATGAACTTGTTAAAGGGTATGGTAGGAAGGGTGTATCACCAAGGTGTATGGTAAAAATTGATATGCAAAAGGCGTATGATTCCATAGAATGGAATTTCCTTGAACAAGTGCTCACAGAAATGAACATCCCAGGAAAATTTCTATCATGGATCATGGCATGTGTCACTACAGTGTCATATACTAGTTGGCAATGGGAAGCCAACAAGGCCATTTGATGCAAGAAGGGGAGTTAGACAAGGGGACCCATTGTCACCATATCTCTTTGTTCTAGCTATGGAGTATCTCACTAGAATATTAAAGACTCTGAAGGATAAGCCTGATTTCAACTACCATCCCAGGTGTGAGAAGCTGCATATTGTTCAACTCAGCTTTGCAGATGATTTATTGTTGTTCTGTAAAGGAGATGTGGTATCCATTCAGCTACTTTACCAGTGTTTTGACCAATTTTCAAAAGCTTCAGGTCTGATTGCAAACCAGGAGAAAAGTTCCATATATTTTGGAGGGGTTACAGAGGATATCCAACAACAAATTATCCAGTGCTTAGGCTTTTCCACAGGCTCCCTACCTTTCAGGTATCTAGGAGTTCCACTGAATACTAAGAGATTATCCACAATTCAATGTCAACCTCTGCTGGATAAAATGCTAGGCAGAATCAAGCACTGGACAGCCAAATTCCTATCATATGCAGGGAGATTGCAATTGATCAAAAGTGTATTGTTTGCTGTACAGTCTTTTTGGTCCCAAATCTTCCCTTTGCCTAAGAAGATCATTCAAGGAATTGAGACGATTTGCAAAAGGTTCTTATGGACTGGAGAAGCTGAGAACAGGACTATAGCTCTAGTAGCTTGGAAGCAACTGTGTTGGCCAAAATCTGCAGGGGGTTTGAACATGACTGATATCTTAACATGGAATAGAGCTGCTTTGATCAAACATTTATGGAATATAAACAAAAAGAAGGACCGCTTGTGGATTCAGTGGATTCACACATACTATATAAAAAACCAGGTAGTATGGAATGTGAAGGCTAAACAAGCTGCTTGGCTCACTCAGAAGATCTTAGGTGCTACTAAATACTTGACTGAGGCAAGTATAGGAATAGAAGAAGTGATGAACATGCAGGAATACTCCATCAGGCAGGTGTATGACAAACTCAGAGGTGAATTACCCAAAGTGGAATGGAAGAGGTTAATCTGTAACAACATGAGCAGCCCAAAATAGATATTCAACCTATATCTGGCAATTCTTAGAAGATTGTACACGAGAGACAGATTACTGGGCTGGGGCATAACAATTTGTTCAGATTGCTCGCTATGTGAAAGAGAAGCAGAAAGCCATGATCACTTATTCTTCAAGTGCCACTACTCAACAGCAATATGGAGGAAGCTACTACAATGGCTGGGAGTAACAAGAGCTGTACAGGGGTGGAATGAGGAAGTTCAATGGGCTGTGCGACATGCAGTAGGGAAGAAACAAATACATGTAATATACAGAATGCTGCTAGCTTGCACTGTGTATTACATATGGCAGGAAAGAAACTGGAGAACATTTCGAGGAACACAAAGGAGCTGCGAGGAGTTAACTAGAGTGATAGTCCAAGATGTGCATTGTCGAGGAAATTTGAATACCAAGGTAGCTAGTAAACTGGAGGAATCCAATTTTTATCCATAGATTGTAGATAAATAGCCATGTAGAAATGAGGGCACTAGATTTGGGGCTGCATGTCCAAATCTATGTCTATTTTGAGAGGGTTTTGTTATACTTGTAAATATTTTCCTGGTAATAATAAACAATTAATTACCAAAAAAACTGTGACTTAAATATTAACTCAACAAACCAAATCCATTTGAGTGGTAAAAATTAGATTTTTAACAAAAAAAAATATGTGGGTTTAAATTTCGAATTTGATTTTGTAAGAAATTTTGAGTGGGTGTTATTTAGACTTGTTAGAAATAGTATAAGGAGGTTGTATATAAAATTTAAAGTCATTTAATAGAGATTTGGACTCGTTTTGAACAAGAATTATAGCTGAAAATCGTGGAAGAAGTTCGTCTACAAACGCTTGTATAAAGGTGTATAAAAGTGTATAATAGTGTATAAGATGTGTTTATACACTCATATACACTATTATATAAGATTATACATAATTATATAAAAAACTGACTTCGTCTTATTCCTTGCATCTTTTTTGGAATTTAACTCAAATCTTGCTCAAATCTGCTCCAAATCACTTCAAATTTAAAATTTGAACTCCTTTTGATATTTTCAATCAATTGGAAAAACACCCAATCCAAACAACTATCAAACTCAAAAAATCGTATTTCCGAAAGCAAAGTTTTGAATGGCCTTCAATGGTGGACTTCTACTCTTTAAATTTTTTACATTGCAACCAGGTGATACGGGGGGGGGGGGGGGGGTAGCAGAAAATACACGGGCCCTTGAAGTATATGTAGAAGATGTGAGAAGAAGAGAGAGTGAAAACAATGTTTGTGAGAACACAAATTTAAATCCATAGCTTTTAGAAGCAATGGTTGTACGAATATGTACAATATGAGCTAGGTCGGGTAAAACATAAAATATGGGATTTTTTGTTATGGTGTGAAGTCACGTGTATTTTCTTGTAATTCTTTTAAAATTGGGACGAAGTTCTAGGCCCGGCCCCAGTTATATCGGAACATGTTACGAAGACAGATAGGTAAGCTCGTGGATCAATGGCCGATCAAAATCGAGGCCAGTTGTGATTGAGAACGAAGCAAGAAAGAAATCAAGCAATATCGAAGGAGGCCTGCTACGTCGAATAACAGAAAGGCGAGATAACCGCGATCGAGTGTGATGACCAAAAGGTCATCACTCATTTTGAAAGTAAATTCTATGTTTCGAGGCCTTAAAAACCTCTTTTTTGTCTCACCTTGATTTGCGTGCGCAGTCCGGACACGTTTCCGGAAAGCTTTTATGCGGAAACTAAGTAAAATATGGAAATTGGCTTTTAAAATTGAATGGAGTTGACTTTGGTCAACATTCTTGGTTAACGGATCCGGACCCGTGATCCGATGGTCTCGTAGGGTCCGAAGTAAAATTTGGGACTTGGGCATATGCCCGGAATCGGATTCCGAGGTCCCAAGCCCGAGAAATGAATTTTTAAAGAAAATTGTTTTTTGGAAAATATAGAGGTTTTTAGAAGTGAATTGATGCATTTTCTTGATGGTATCGGGCCCGTATCTTGATTTCGGAGCCCAGTACAAGTTTGAAATAATAACTAAGTTGAATCGGTAAAATTTGGTAAAGATCGGAATTGGTTTGGTATAAAACGGACCTATAGTTGAGAAAATAGTAATTTTGATGTTCTTGAGTAATTTCATGAATTTGAGGTTTAATTCATATATGTTGATGTTATTTTGATGATTTGAACGCACGAGCAAGTCCATATGATATTTTTGGACTTGCGTGCATGATTGGTTTGGAGCCCTGAGGGCTCGGGTGAGTTTTGGATAGGCCACGGAGTGGAATTGGACTTTGGAAAATTGCTGGTGTGTTGCAGATCTGTAGCAGGCCTCTGATCTCGCAAATGCGAGATCAGGCATCGCAATTGCGATGCAAGCAGGGATCGCAAATGCGGTGATTTTGTCGCAAATGCGAAGATCCCAGGGCCATCCAATTCTCGCAAATGCGAAGTCTTCAGTGCATGCCCAGAAGTCGCAAATGCGACACTTTAATTGCAAATGCGATATCGCAAATGCGACTGGTCCCTCGCAAATGCGAAGGTGACCGGATTTTTCCATTGTCGCAAATGCGACATATTCTTCTCATTTGCGAAGTCAGCATGGACGCAATTGCGACATCAGAGACTTGCTAAATGAATTTCAGACGGGATTTCAACCATTTTTACAACTTTCTCAAAACCTAAACTCTCTTGGGCGATTTTCTAAAGAAAAGTTCTTCTCCAAATTAATTGTAAGTCATTTCTAACTCATTTTCTTTAATCTACAACATCTTTTCACATGATTTCAATCCAAAATCAAGGGTTTTCATGGGGGGAAATTGGGTGTTTTGGGTAGAACTTAGGATTTTCAAATTTTGGGGATTTGGACCTCGATTTGAGGTCCGATTTTAAAACAAATTATATATTTGAGTTCATGGGTGAATGGGTAATCGGGTTTTGGTTCGAACCTCGGGTTTTGACCATGTGGGCCCGGGGTCGATTTTTGACTTTTTGGGAAAAACTTTAGAAAACCTATTTTCATGCATTAGAGTTGATTCATTTAGCATTTATTGATATCGTT